AAAAAAAAAAAATATTGAATTCCTGGGGGAAAAATAGTAATAATTCAAAATTCCCTATTTTGCCTCTGGAGGAAGTTACAGTACACTGAACTTCCCAGCGTACTTTTGGAGGGAATAATAAGATCGGGCAGTCTTGACTGCAAAATTAAAAGTTCCAACTGTGCATAAAATGTCAGGCTCAATTTATTCCTGGCTCAAGGTAGGGCCATTTAACTGGGTTTCTATAATTTTCTAAAGCTATGTATAGGTTTATATATATATAGACAGTATTAGTCAGTTTTGACTTTAGTGGTAATATTAGTAACTAGTGGTTAATTATGCAGAGAACAGAGGTGATACCTATAATTGAGTTACCTTGATGTGCACAGCTCTGATCTATTTGGAGGGGGGTGGTAGAGAAAATTCTAGTTGTGTGCCCGCTGACACCTCTGGGTTTCTGTGGTTCAGTTGAGAAGTCAACACTGTGCACACCATAGTTGTTTATGACAAGTTGCCACTCCATTAGGTGAGTTCAAAGGCTATATTTGCTGGAGGGCAGCTTGGGTGAAATTCATGGCCTTTGCATAAAAGTCCATCAGTGTCAGGCAGCAGCTATACCAAATTTGAATCAATAAAACATTAAATTATCTAGTTTACAGGTTAAATCGATCGTTTATTTGGAGCAAAAGGATCTGTTGATTAAAAAGAGAAAAAAAATGGCTGAGAACAAAATTTTTGAGAAAGTTGGCTTACATTATCAAATTGTAATCAAGTAGGGAAAAGATCCTGTTAGATTAGGTTGAATAGCTCTGGAAGATCCTGCATTTCTCAGCTGATCCCTAGGAGTTTAAGAGTTTTAAAACGTAGTTATTGTTAAATGTGAGTAAGAGAAAATAATGGAGCTGAGCACAAAGAATATGTAGACAGTCACTTTCCTCTGCAGAATTATTACAATTGATCTTGTGTGGTATAATGTATTTTTATATATAATGTAATGCAGACATTTTGTATTTTATTGGTTGCTGTACTAATGACCAAAGTATTTTCTGTTGTATTATTGTTTGTTCACCCTTTCCCCCCACCCTCAAAAGAATGTGTTACTAGAGCTTTAACAACATGCAATGTGTAATTTATCATGTCAAATTTTGACACACACATGACCTGTTCTTCCTCATTTGTGTTGTCTGATGTTTCAGGTTATGTTTAGTAATTAAGTCTATTTTATATATGTTTTTCTCTCTCTCCAAAATACGGTACAGGCCTACGTAAAAAGCTAAATTTTACAAAGAATATATTTTAAGAAGAAAAACAAAGCAAAACTAAAGAACAGTATGAATTTGAGGATGAGTTTGCGTAGCGATCAGAAATCATTTTTCCATTCTGCCTTACTTTTTTTAAAAAAAAAAGAAGAAAAAAAGAATAGATGTTTTCATAAGGAAGCGTTTTGGGTTTTCTGTTTTTAATAATACTGAGTACGATCTCATTTGAAGGCAGCGGTTTTGAGTTTTGAGCAGAAATTTGATAGTGAGCATACCATACCTCTGCAATTTACTGGTATGCTGGATTGTTGCACTAATTATGGCTAGCATTGGCAGACTTTTAAGCATGAGAGCTAGCAGGTAGGAAATGTGTACCTCAGAATAATGACAGGTTTAAATTGTGCCATTAGTCTATCAAACCTACATTTGAGAAGCTAAGCATACCTTAAACATCCCTTTAGTTGAGGGACAGCGGTAAAGAGAATGTGACAAATGTTAAATTGTTGACTTATGTTTGTAACTGGCAATGTGCTGAAGCTTGAAATAAAATCTGAGGCTGATGGTATAAATGCTGAGTGTTCCTTTGTGTGTGTTTTTGCTATCAGAGTTTTCCTGTTGTGTGTGAGCAGTTCAGATCCACACTAGAAGGTCCAATTAAACTGATCTGTTGATTTACAGCCTCTGGACAGGATTCTTCTAGAACAGGTGTCAGTCCTGAGATGCTGGGAGGCCCAGGGTTGCCATTTTGGCAGGGGGGGAGAAAGACCGAGCGGGGACTGAGAGGCCACCCCGCACCAGCCACACCCCGTACCTCCAGGGGACTGTGAGGCCAACGAGAACGATCACTACAGCGCTGCTTGGATGTTGTAGCAGCTGCAGCGGCTGAGGTGCGTGCCAGCCGGAAGAACTGAGAGGCAGAGCGGGCACCTGTGCACCAGGCCTGTGATTGGCATGCAGTGCTATTCTCGGGGTATGTGCAGGGCTGGGCGAGGCTGGGTAGAGTTTAAATGGTGGCGGGGAGCACAGGGTAGTAGCCCTGACTTTATTTCGCTATTATACTTTGATTGGTGATGGTCAATTTTTGCCATTAAAAGTCCGCAACGAAGATAAAGCCATTGGGAACCAGGTTTGTCTTGGTGTTTGTTTCATTGGCTTACAGAACCTGACAACAGGTATCAAACTTGATTTCATTGAGGGCTGCATCAGGGTTGTGTTTGACCTCAGGGCTGGGGTGGGTGTGGCCAGAGTGGGCGTGGCCTGCTCAATGTCACTTGTTGGGGGTGCCTATGGTGGCCTAAGTGCTCTGCCAGTGAAAATGGGCTCTTGAGCTCCATTTCCAGCTGCGACAGGCTCCTGCAATCCTCTGCCATGGCCCTCCTGGGCTCCGTTTTTGTTGGCAGAGGGTTGCAGGAGGCTGTCACAGCCAGAAATGGAGCTCAGGAGCCCATTTTTGCTGGCAGAGGCACCACGGGGCCCATCCCTCACTGTTTCCAGGGTGGCCCCATGGGCCAGATCTAAGCACCTCGCCTGCTGGATCTGGCCTGTGGGCCTTGAGTTTGACACCCCTGTTCTAGAACTAGAACTAGAAAATAACTAGAGCTACAAATAAGACATAGAGCTAATTAGAACTGATAATTTGCATCTGGTTAGAGTTAGATAAGGGTCAATGGCATTTAAGGGAGGTTGGACTCAGTTCATGGCTACGTAGGGATTCTAGGCTGAGCCCTCTTTTGTCGCCGCCTCTAGTTTCTGCCACTCCTCTTACATTTTCTCATGGAAGTTCTGTCTTTCTTCAGATTGGTTTGGATCTTCCTTTTTCTCTTTAATTGCCGCTAAAAGTCTTAGTGCGCACAACCAGAGGACCATCTTATTGTCACTTTTTAAAATGGAGACTTCTTGCATCCCTCCAGATTCTCTAAGGCTACACTTTGTGGAGCCACGCGTTTTGAGCATTTCATACAAATATTCCTGATGCTTATCCTATGCCAACCAGGGAACTACCCAGAGGTGGTATTCAGCAGGTTCGTGGCTATGCAACGACTCAAACTGATGACACGTTTAACTCTGCCTTCCAGCTCTGCCTGCTTTTCTACAGTTCCTGAGCCAATCCCTTTCCACTCATGAAAATGAAAATGGCTGGGTTGAACTGGAATATAGCACTATATATAGCTGGAGTGGGACATAACCGAATTCATTCATTGGCCAAGTCATCATCCAGCTCCCTAAGGGATGATCTAGATGATCTCTTAGCTAATTTTGTTCATTCTCTCAGACCTACAAAAAGAAAAGAACTATTAGAAGCATGCAGCGTGCTTGATGTTCCCTTTCTAATTTAAAAAGGGATACTCAAAGGGCAATCAAGGAAGAGAACCAAATGTTTTCTGCCTGTTTAAGTTGCTTGTTTGGACACAATCCCTTGATTCTACTTTAGACTATTTGTTCGGGCCTCCGGTGATCATAAATCTAATTCTGGAAAGAGCTCCCTTTAAAAAAAAAAGAAAACAAAATGCAATGGAACCCAGCTCTGTGTCAGGACTACACAACCTCCACAATTGTGCCCAAAATTTCTGTTGCTATGCAAGACAGTTGTTAAGTGAGTTTTATGACCACTCGTCACAGTTGTTAAGCGAATCACTGCAGTTGTTAAGTTAGTAACACAGTTGTTATGTGTCGTGCCCTTGTTAGAGTTGGACTCTGAGGAAGAGGAGGAACAGCCGACAGGGAGTAGAGGTGTGGCTCTGGAGGTTGTGGAGGAGGCTGGGGAAGGGCAGAGGCCAGCTGGGCAGTCAGAGGAAGAACCAGGCCCATCCCTTCATCCTAGGACACGCAGGGAGGAACGGAGAAGGAAAAAAGTTGGCTTACGAGAGAGGTGGCAGCCATGATCCCACTCACTAGTTGCAGCTGGGGAGAATAGTATATAAGAGAGACAGTTACAACACAGCGTTGCTAGAAGCAAAGCGTGTTTTATTTTGCACTGAAGTTACCTTGGTTGGCGTCCTTCCAACAGACTGTGCCTTGTTATCTCCCTGAAGTGGGTAATTACTTATCCTGGTCCATTGTGGAATTTCCTTCACTGTAGTTTGTTTTAGTTTTTTATTTCACCTCTATCTGCTCATTAAGTTCAGACTGTCTTGCTTTCTTTTGAAGACTATTTTTGAATAAAAATAGAATTATTGAACAGTGGGACCAAATTGGAGGCATTAAAGGACATTAAACAGTGGGACCAAACTGGAGGCATTAAAGGACATTTATTTACGTTTTGGATTTTGTTACGTTTGTGTTACACTCCAGATCATCACATTATGTGAATCTGAGTTCCCTATTGACTTTGCTTGTCAGAAGGTCGCAAAAGATGGATTATATAACACCCCCAGGACATGGTACAACTGTTCTATAATATGAACCCATTACCAAGCACCTGAATTTCGATCATGTTGTAGCCTGGGGATGCTGCAACCTTAGAGAAACCTTACTCTGTTCTGAAATATCACTTCTGATTCTTTGATGCTCCCCTTCTCGTGCCACGAGGTGGCTCTGTGCCTCACCAAACAGCTATCTAGAGCTGGTGAGGCTTGCCAAGAAAATTCAGACGGGAGGAAGTTCTCAAGATGCTGTAATGTTGAAGTCCGTGAAGAAATTCCAGTTCCTCCCATACTACCACCTCTTACAATACGAGACATCGCAGTATCAACAATGGAGACCTTCAAATTTCTAGGTTCTATCATATCTCAAGACCTAAAATGGACACCTAACATCAAAAACGTCGTCAAAAAAGCACAACAAAGAATGTTCCTCCTGCGCCAACTCAGAAAGCTCAAACTGCCCAAGGAGCTGCTGATCCAGTTCTACAGAGGAATGATTGAGTCTGTCATCTGCATCTCTATAACTGTCTGGTTTGGTTCTGCAACCCAACAGGACAGACACAGTCTCCAGAGGGTAATTAGGACTGCAGAAAAAAACAATTACTACCAACCTGTCTTCCATTGAGGACCTGTATACCGCACGAGTCCAAAAGAGGGCTGTGAAAGTATTTACAGACCCCTCACATCTGTTTCAACTCCTTCCCTCAAAACGACACTATAGAGCACTGCACACCAGAACAATTAGACACAAGGACAGTTTTTTCTCCAAACACCATCACTCTGCTAAACAAATAATTCCCTCAACACTATCCAACTATTTACAAAGTCTGCACTACTATCACTATTAATCTTCTCAACACTCCTTATCACCCATCCCCTCCCACTTGTGACTGTATGACTGTAACTTTGTCGCTTGTATCTTTACAATTTATATTGACTGTTTCCTAGTATGATTTGATTGCTTATTGTACCCTATGACTATTATTAAGTGTTGTATGTTATGATTCTTGACTCTTGACGAATGTATCTTTTCTTTTATGTACACTGAGAGCATTTGCACCAAGACAAGTTCCTTGTGTGTCCAATCATACTTGGCCAATAAAGAATTCCATTCCTATTCTATTCTATTCTATTCTATTCTATTCTATTCTATTCTATTCTATTCTATTCTATTCT